AAATTTTTTATAAAAAATGATAACGAAGGTTTTAGAGATTTGAAACTGAAAATTGATAATTATTTCTATAAAACTTTCAATTTTTCTTAATAATCATAATATAATGTCTAGTAAGCTAGAAAAAGATTAGTTTAAAAAAAATGTTTAATTTGTTGTAATAGTTAAGCACTATAAAGTAATTAATAATATTTGATATAAGTTTATCAATGAAAAATTACAAAATTAGGATAATATATTCTGCTATTGCAATTCGTGCAAATATGTTTAACTATAATAAGAAATTGTTTAGAGAATTTCCTTAAGGTGGCTATGGTATAAAATTAGGACCATTTTATGCCGCACATAAAATTTTATTAAATAATGTGCGGCAATTTCACGGGGAGGCCTATAGAGTTAAGAAACAAATGTATTTTAATTAGTTAGGATAAATATAGTTTACTAAAAATATAAACGCGAAAAGGTGATTATCATATTTGATGGATAAAAAAAATTGTTTTGCGGCTAAATATAAGAACATTTCCCTGAACATTGTAAAAGGATTTATAAATAAAAATACATATTCACATCAAATTCCCTGTGATCAAGGTCAAAGGTTAAAAAGTTTATCGAACATTGTTACAATAGCTATCCCACGGTCTCTTCTATATATAGGAAGGCCGGCCTGTAATATCTTTAGCCCTGCCCGGCCCTTGATTATTGTTAGCCTCAGGCCTTAATTATTTTTTATGGAGAAAAAACCTTAAATTAACATTATTCAAAGTTTCAAAAACAGGCAACCCCGACCTTAAAAATATTTTCACGTATTGTCTAAGCTACTTTGAACAAGTTGATTTTCCTATATTTACCCCCTCCCCCTCCAGGTAGTGTCATGCAAAGCAGATCTCTACATGACTTCTATACAATTTTTATATAGAGCTTAGAGAGAATACGAAAATTGTAAATTATATTTATTTTTGAATCTTCAATTTTTTTCCTCTTATAACTTTTTAAATTTAAAAAAAAATCCTAAAAGAAAATCTTTTAATTTAGATTTATGATCCCAGCATCTTGTTTAAGTACTTTACCCTGTATGGCATGAAGTATCAAAATAATACAGTGAAGTGATAAAATATTACTTTTCTTTACTTAATTATGAACAAAAAAAGGATTAAATTTTTATCTGGTGGATATGATTATCTGTTCTTAAAAAATGTCGCCGTTTATAAAAAAAATTTTTTTTAAATCTTGCTTATTTCAGAAACGATTTTCGGGAAACAAAATTTCTAAAAGTTTATAAATATGTAAACATTAAATATAGATAATCGAATTGCCATTTATATTTATATTATAGTGTGCTCTCTTTAACATCCACTTTGCAATTTAGCTTTAAATATTGTTATTTTACTCATAAATTTATAGATGTTTTATTGTTATGTTGTTAATAATTTACATTGTCCCACACAGGGTTTAAAGTTTATATATATACACAAGAGAATAGGGTAAATTTAATAATAATTCATTATTTATAAAGGTAAGAACTAAATAGTTTAGTATAAATGAGATTAGTATTTTAAAATGAAATGAAATAGTTTAATATATCGTATCTACAAAATTTTATAATAAAAACACAACTCCCAAACCTTATATTATAATGCATAATAAAAACATAGAAAATAAAATAAGTTTATTTTGTCTGGGGCGCTAGCAGGAATTTTTCTAGTAGAGGGCAAAAAATATTTTTTATTAAAAAATAATATAAAATACATGGGAATTTTTCATTCAAAAAAAAATTCAAACAATTTATTAAGTTTTTTTGCCATGTCCTAATTCATCTTATTTTTGAAACTTATTATTTTATACCAAATGTGATCACTTCATTAAAATTGTTTATGTGATAATAATCATATAATTTTGCTATCATTTTATAAACCTCACCCCGTGATATCTTCCACATTTTTTTTATTAGCATTTAGAAACTATATATTATTTTATATAAAAAACACGATTATAAATTACAAAATTATATTTAAAATGCAAGGGGGGGGGAGTACACCATTATGAAAAACATAATTGAGTACCTAATAAGGTGTAGTATTTATAGTTAAGTCCACTGGTGGTTGTGGCGATTGGAATAAAAATAAAGTTATCCAATGTTCAAGGTTTTATTTGTTCATCTTTTTTGTTACGGCTTGTGAGTGTGTTGCTATTGATATTTGTGGGGAAAGTGGTAATACAGGTATCCCAGATGAGAGATTTACCCATAGCCCATGGGATAGTTGTGAGGTCATCATCCAATGAAAGTTTGCGAGGTTCTAAAATATTAAGGAATCGAGCTTTTTTAGGGAATAGACTGAGAAGTTTATTAATGATGGTGCTGTTGACGACCTTGGATTTTAATGTAATTTAAGTCATATCTGCCTTTAGCATTAATTGGTTATAACTCAGGCAACTATGACGTTGGTCTATGTCATAGCGCGGCATTTAAACTTCTCATAATTCATAATAAGAATAATGATATGTTTATTTTATGCCGCATCTATCCTTATCTATCGGCGAATCGCTTTAGATGATAAACAACTCATTAAAGGTATTTTCCTTGAAGTTGAGGATTTATAAGTCTTATAAGACTAGAATATTTATCTATAATAACTAGGCACACATATAATTTGCTGTGATTTCTACACTTTTCATGAACTTGCCTTGTTTGTGAAAGACGTATAAACTCAAATCCTGGAGTTCATCGACTATTTCATCGTAAGTAATTGCAAACCTTATATGGTTTTATAATTCTCCACCCATCTAGTCATTCAAAAATGGCATATTAGATATATACAATCTTAAAAAACTATTTTAAAAAGTTTGCAAAATCCTTTATATGCCCACTACTGGTTTATTCATAAATGTAATATAGAAAAATTTTAAATAAAATATGTAATCTTTTTAATTTCCCAGAAGAGGGTAAAACTTTTAAACAATATAGAAATCTTTAAAATAATAATATACGTAATAATAAAATTTATCCAGGAAAGAGCAAGCCCCTCCAGGAACCCCTGGATTTATTGCAGATTATAAATTATTAGTGAGGCAAACCTTTATATAAATTATTATAATAAATATGAGGGCTAACTTTTATATAAATTATTATAATAAATATGAGGCTAAAAATTACTCAGATTAATATAAAATATCAATAAGAAATCAAATTAGGAATCAAATTAGGAATTATTTTTATAATATAATTTTGAACCTCCCCCCCCCCTCAATTATTTTAAAAAAAGAAGACTATAAGTTATAAGATGATCTACTTATAAATTCTGGGTTAGTTTTCTCAACTATTATATGATTATTTATTAAATTTATAAGACGTGAAAATCTTAATTTCTAAGTAAATTAACATGCTGAATTTGAATGGCAAAGAGATAATTTATATTTTTAAAAAAAAATTTTTTTAAATATTGATCCGGAAATACCCTTTTAAATATCAACTTGTATGTTTAAAAAAAATCGTTTAGTTTAAAGAATATTATGAACTACAAAAAAATATTTCCTTTTATCTCAGAACAGGATCTGTAAAATGAATGACAGACAGTAAGAGTAAAAAGGAAGAAAAATACATTCTTAACTTATGAAAAGGAGGGTGGTGAGAGTAACTTTAGGGGCAATTTATTCAAAAAATATTAGATTTTTAAATTTTTCATTAATGTGCGATTAAAAATCAATAAAATGAGAACACTTTATTGCAATTTGCTAATTAACATTTGTCATAAATATAATATGCCTATTTATTTTATCGTAAGGTATATAATAATTTAATATTTTATTTTTATAAATTATTGTATTATTTTTGGTATATCTTAATTAAATTATTTAAATGGAAATGGGCTCAAGATATTTGTAAGAACGGGAAAACCTTCCAGTGGCAGATAAGACACGTGCTCTAATTTATTGACTCTAAAGTTATATAGGCCCCTAGAAAATAGGTATGAAATCAACTTTTGAGAAGTGTCTTTTTTGCTTAATTAGTCTTTTCAACTGAATACAAGAAATGTGTTAGATCCTATCTAATTAGTGATATGTTGGAATTTTTTCTTGTAAAAAAAATATTTCTTGAAAATAAAATCGAGCTAATTGCTGAGTATGAGCGTTTAAATGAGCCTTTCAATGATAACATTTTATCAATGATTTGAAAATTAAAATTAGCTCATAAGCACGACTCTGGCCTGAAGTTGCATTATTTAAAAATAAATGCTAAAAAAATATTATTTCTAAAAGTGAACTAGCATATTTTATCCAGCGCTCAAGAAAAATATATTATAATCAAAGAACGAGCAAAAATGGTTGAAATTGAATAGCTATTTCTTTTTTTAAATATTTTGATAAATATTTTAAGCCTGGCTCAGCAAGAAAATTTTTTAATGCTAGTTAAGCCTCGATCTGAAGAGTAAATGAACTTCGGGATGGACCGCTGTTAAAAATAAATAATACTTCGAGTCGGACAAGATTTGAGCCGAAATTTTTTTTAATTTGCAGGGCTTTATTCTAAATTATTAAGACTAATATTAATATAAATTACCATTTCACTAAAATTTGGCCACAAAAAGTAGTTATAAAAGAACATAAAAATAGAAATACTTATTTTATATCCAATTTTATATCCAATTTTATTTTCATTTTCTAAATATATAAACATAGCTCATAATGAGAAAGGCGATAAAGGGGGAATAGAAAAATCAATTTTTTTCTAAATTTTGTTATTTTTTCGAAACTTTTTGCCAAAATTTATCAATAATTTTCTCTTTTGCCTTAAATGCTTTTGTGATGTGATGTGAGTTAATAAGTTATCCTATTAATTTTTGAAGCTATTTTCTCTTAAAAATCTATATATTTTATATTTGATTTTTTATTATTTTTTTTTATTTCAATATTATTTTGTTATACATAATTTGTTAGGCTTATTTATTTTTTTTAGAAAAAAACGGTGTTAGAAAAACATTATAACATTTAATAAGAAGTTAAAATCAGTTTTTGTTTTTAAATAAGAACTTCTGAGAAATTTCTTTAAAAATTTTAAATCGTGTTTTATTAAAACAAAATCCAACAAACCACTAATTAAGGATCTAACACATTTCTTGTATTCAGTCAAAGTAAGGATTGCGATTGCTATATTGATACACGAAAGACTAATTTAGCAAAAGAAAGACACTTCTCAAAAAGTAATATTTTTTAAAATAATGTTTCAGAAACCTGTGTAAGTCTAATTTTTCCGGGCTCTGATTAAATTTGTTCAATTTTCTGGTCAGCCCTAGATTATATATTTCATAGCATTTTTTTGAAAAAAAGTTTTGGTAAGGCTGGGATTTTTTAAAATTTATTTTTAAAACCTGAGATTTACAAAATTTTAATCCTTCAAGGGCTGGTTTGATTTTTAAAATTTCATTATTTTTAATTAATTTTAATTTTAAAAATAAATTATGAATAAGGAAATGTGCATGTTAAATGATCCATTTCATATGATTTTATAACTGGTTAATTGATATATTTTTTAATAATATATTTCAACTGGAGTCCAGATTTTATACCTGAACCGAACCGTTAAACCGGATATTAACCATTATTATTTACTAAACCTAAGTCGAATCTGAACCCTTAAAGAATTTGTCATCAGAACTTGAACCGAACCTCTAAATATTTTTGAGAACTGGTTTCAATCTTTTGATATTTTAACTCTTTTTAAAATAATTAACAATCAGTACATGTAAATCAGTAATTATTTTTAGGCATTTCTGTGTATTTCTACTTAACGGTGCCAGCCAATTTAGCATCAGTCATGAAATTTATTTATTATTTGTATATCTCTCAATATTATTTTTTGGAGAATAGTGATAAAATTTTAAAAAATATTCATTTTTTATAGATTTATAATATGCTTGTATGTTAAAAGTTTGAACGATTAAAGGTTTAAACCGAATCGATATTATTATTTTTAAACGAATCTGAACGATGAACCCTTATTTTTATCTTAACCTGAACAGAACCAATATTCCTTACGGTTTGGAGCCTTGAACTAAATATTATTTTTTTTTTTAAATATATATAATAATGATGTTTGATTGAGATTTTTTGGAATTGTGGCTCTGCAGGCAAAAACATTTTTTTTAATGTTCAAAGAATTTTGTTTAGGGTCCAAGCCTTAGTTATGGACTAGAATTATTTATTAAAACGTATATTGGTAATAAAATACCATATCATTTCAAAATCAATCCTATAAAAATCAAATAAAAACTAATCTTATTTTGGTGTATAATTCAAATCAATTATACAATTATTGAAATACCTTTTTAATAATAACTTAATTAATAAGGGATTGACTGAAAAAATGTTAGGAAATATTTGCAAATTTTTATGATAATAATTATAAAAGTATCTTTAATAATTTATACTTTTCCTCTATTTGATAGCGATTTTAATCTCTTAATCGTCATAACACTTATTAACACTAACAATATCAGATAAAAGCTTTTTATTTCAAATAGAAAACTTAAAATAAAAATCTAATTCATCATAATCTTAAGATAGAAAAGCGATGTGTAATAAACTAACATTTAACGAATACTAAAGAAGAAAATTATCCCCATCTAGGAGAAAAAGGATTAAAAAAACTTTATTTTATCTAAGTGAATCATTAATAATTTATACAAATCGATTCGATTAGTTTTTTGAAGGAATTTAATTTTCAAAATTATGAAATAAATAATTTATTTTGATTATTTATCGTCTAAATTCATACACAATGGAAGGACGGATGGGAAAGAAGGAGGAAGGAAAATAGAAAGGAAAAAAGGAATGATGGACGGTCGGAAGGATAAACTGATTTTCTACTTCCTAATTATACTTTATATTCTAATATCAACATCATTCGCTTTATTTTTTTAAGGATTTAGTGACTTTTACCTATTATAATATAATATAATTGTGTAACTTATATATATGTTACTCAATTTTGATTAATATGTAAACCAAATAATAAATAAATTAAAAATGCTCATAAGTTCATTATAAAATTGTTAAAATTTATAAGGTAGGCATTCTGCACATACTGAAGAAATAGAATCTTAAACTTAAAATTTAAAAAAAGCTATCAACAAATGATTGTTTTACATATACTTTAATTCATTAAGAGTGTTTTTTTAAGGCCTGGTATGGTCTTAGTTCACCTCTATAACTCTGCATTTGCAATGTTAAAAGTGACTTTATTTTTTAACATTTAAAGAGTTTTAACCGCTGCATTTAAGAAATGGACCCCACTAGTAAAATACCTAAATTCTTACATAAAATACATTTGAATCATATTTAAATTTTAAAATCTTATCTTTCTCGTGGATGTAAATTGCCCTTCCATCAATGCTACATTAAAAACATTCCGTTGAATATTTACACTTGAAACCTGTGCAATGGTTATTTTTATCTCTTTTCCTTCATCTAAATCAAGTCACAGTCACCTGAATAGTAACAGTCCACCCATATATCCCAAAATATTTGCAATTCCATCAAGCAAAGAGACTGAGATCTAACATTTGTATATGAATATCAAAATATTATTAATATTTGGTTTAAATTTTAAAAAATTGGGCCAAATCTTTATGCAGACTAGTAGGTATACTATACATTAGAAAAACCTGATGTTAGTTAGGGTTTTGCAGGGAATCTTACCACTGGGGTATGATGCATGATCGTAACAAAATTGGATGAGAGGGGGGGGGGTGTAGATGGCAGAAGGATTGGATTATATTATTTTTTGCTATATTTTGATTTTGTTAGGGGGTGGAATAAGGATAGGAAGGAGGTAAAGGAGATACGGGGTAATATCGTTATTGGCTTAGAGGGATATATAAATCTCCTGGGTTTCTAAATGGGTAATGCTAAGTTACTCATTATTTGAGGACGATTATATTTCAAGAAATAAGCGTATATTATGTATCATAAAATAAATTTTTGATCGGCTATGTACTGACGAGCTGCCTGTAGCATATGAGTAATATTTTTTTAATATTGTGTTTCAAGTAGTAGTATAAATACATTTTTATAAAATATTTACTCGATAGTACTTTTTAAATAATAAAGATGATGGTTACCCAAAAAATTTCAGACAATTTTATATGATAGGTTTAAAATTAGAGTGCTTCATTTGCAAAATTATTGAAACTGGGAAAAACGATTTTAAAGTTTAGAATAAAAATTGAGTTGGTAATTCATAATACTATTTCCAAATGATCGCCCAAAAAAATTTTTACTCATAAATGTTTTATGAAAAATTATTAAATAAAATCAAAGTAAACAAAAATAACTACTATAAATCCTCAAATTATATAATATAGACACACAATCTTTCTTTAAATTTTCTCATTCATTTTATAAAAAAAAGGAGAACGGGTGATTATGAAATATGATAATATCATAGATAGGGCATATATCAAAAATTATGAAAATAGCCCAAAATTGACAGGGCTCTAAAGTCGCCAAAAATTAATATTCAAAAAATCTAGTTCTTATTTATATATTTATTTGGAAATTGATCAATTAAAATCCACTCCTAACTTAAAAATCTTTATAATGTCAAGTGGAGCACTCCGATTTTGTACCAAAGATATATTATATAATTAACGTTCTCAATTCTATTCTTAAATTTTAATATGTTGAATAATTGGAATATTAGGTAACCAACTCTTTATAATTAAAATCTCAATTGTCATTTGATTTTAAATGGTAATATAATTTTAAATTTTAAATCAATTAGTTTTATAAAATGCTAATCTTTAAATATATATAAAGCTCTAATTTTTATATTTTTACTTATAGAAAATTAAAAAGTGCAAAAATAAATATTGGTTATTAAAATTAGGCCTAAAAATTAATATAAATATACCACAAGATTTAAATAAACGCATGATTTGTTTTCTTCTGTTTAAATTTATTCTTATTGCCTAGTGATTAGAATTTGTAAATAAAAAATCCACTTTGAAACCCCACTTAGGAAATTATTTATAGAGATTGCATTTTCTTACAAAATAACATTCACAATGGAAAGCGGTTCACGACCCATTTATTTGAATTTACTTTCTCTTTAGAAAAATAATATCTTATTTCGTTTCCGATCCTAAAGGTATCTTTCAACGAAATAAAATAATCATTTGAAAAATGACGGAACCCTTGGTTTTTCGTAAAAGAATATACTGGATAGATAATTTTTTTGGGAGTGGGCGGAGGCTTTTAGTGTCGCCAGTCCCCATAAATGTTATTGACATGTTTTAAACCACCATTTTATAGAACTTTAACCGGTGCTCTGTGATAAGTATAATACTGTGAAAAATAACATAGTTACTTCACAATAGATATTACACTAGCATCTATGACCTGTGCATGATAATATTAAGGGTAAATGATATATGGTATTGCATTGAAGTTATTGATTTTTTAATGTGTTTTTTTATCAAAATATTAGATGGCTTTATTCATTCTAAAGCAAATTGCTAATTGCTCTATGATTTAGTATTATTTTTTACATTGTATAGTATTAAAATGGGAAACTGTTTGAAGAGATAAATATTTATTCCAATAATATAGCGTTGGTCATCATAATTTTCTAAACAACGACCAAATTTTATTAAAGTCTAATAAAATCTATTCTTATTTTATACATATTAACCAAATTACGCGGTCGCCTCCTATATTCTATATATCATATCCCGTAAAAACCATCTAGTTGACTTCAGAAAAACACTTAATCCTTGGGATTTGCTAAAGATGGGCGCGGGCATAATTTTTTATTCACGACCCGTCCACTTACTATACTAAATATTCATGCCCATTTATAATTGATATTCAATTTTTTTTATGCTAGCCGCGCCCAAAATATTCACGGATTATTTTTTAAAGAACTACAATTCTGCCTTATATACTTCCATAAATCGCCTTATACATAATTGTAGTAATTAAGAATTGACTAATTAAGTCACATTTATAAATCAAAATCTTAATATAAAAAAAAATATGCCAATATCTTTTTATATTTTAGTTGCGTTCGTCTTTTCACTAGCAAACGATTATTGGGCATGAAAAATAATCCTTAATTGAAAACCGAACTGCTGAGGATGACACAGTTTGGCTAATTTTTTAAATAAAAGAAAACATTGACAGAAAACTTTAATAATAAAAATGAAATAAGTTTTTTCTCTATAATAAAAAGATGTTAAAAATTTTCACGGCCTTCAATCACATCTGATAAACCAAGATATATATGGTAGGCTATATATTCACCCACCGACTATTTATTTTTGTATAAAAGGATTAATTAAAACGATACCTAATATTTTAATAAAAAAACGCATAAAGTAATGATATACATCATTACCCATTTGAATTATCAATAAAAATTATAATCTTAAAAAGAACTATACAAACAAAGTACTGCAATAAAGTGTCTTATTTTGTGACTTAGTTTTTTTTTGAATTTAAAAGTCATGTACGAAAATGGCCATTTGGGAATTTTTTAAAAATTATTAAATATTTTATTAAATTATATATTTTTAGTTAGTGCATAGGTTTGAATTAATATTTAGCGGGAGTTGAATATATGTCGTAGACCACCTTAGACCATCCTCATGATTTAGGTTAGAAAGTTCGCTTTAAATAGTATGGGGGGGGGGGCATTTTAAAATTTATAATTTTATATTTTGAACTAAGGTTGTTAAATAACCTGACTCTGACCAACTTCAATGAGAATTAGCAAGCCTTTAATTCAACAAATTTGATTAACTTCTAAATTGAACCCAAAATTTAAATTTTTTTAATATGAAAACTAAAGAAAGGTAATTTAGCAACACTAATTTTTTGAACTATTGTATATCAAATGTTATAATAATTTAACAAAATTTTATAATTTTAAAATTTATATTTAAGGTAAAAACTTCTATATAAATCAGTTGTATAATCATATTTATACAAGACCATATTACTTGTGCCACCACTACTACAGGCGAAAAACAATTCAGAAAAAAATTGTGGCACAATTATTTATAATAAAAATAAACTAATGGAAACAAATATTAATTATCAGTAGTATCACTATAGGGGTGTTTTTTTCGGATATCCGATGTTATTTCTTAGAGGAAGTAAATAACTATATATATTATTCCGAAAAATCTTTAACCCTGGCCAATTTAATTTTAAAAAAAATGCATATTATTAATATTATATAGAACTCAAGTGACATTATGTCAACTCAACATATTTGCGATTTGGATCACGAATTGAATGATTTTCAGAAAAAGAAGTTATTGTTTGTATTCAGTGTTTTCTTCGGTAAATATATCAATTTGAATATTTTTTTATCCTTGAATATTTTAAATCATTCGCTAAAATCCGAGTATTAGTTCTTTACTAACCTCATTTTTTAAATTTAGGAAAAAAATTATTTTATAGAAAATCTACTATTATCAGCTAACCTAAAACTTACCAAAGCGTTCCCAAAAGAAAATATTGAAATTAGAAATCATTAAAATTATAGTTATTTAATACACCACCACCCCCCCCCCCCTCCTATCAATCATAAAAAGGATAATTATCTGATTTTCTGGCATTTTCTTAAACTGATTGATATAACTTGATTTATTTTTAATCTTCTCTATATTTTATTAAAAATATATTCTCGGTCTAAGTTTGTAACTTTTTAATTATAAAGTTTTAAAAATTATTATACAATTTTACCGCCTCCTCAGCCTGCAGGTCTCTGTTTTAAGATATAAGACCTATATTTCGATATTATTATAACAATCATTAATCTAAAAAACAAAATTGATGTAAATTTTTTTGGGAAAAATAGATATTAATAGAGACGGAGTGATCGAAAAGAGCGATTTTGACCTGGCTTTAGAGGTTTATATTTAAAAAATGATTAATGAAAGAATACATATTTATATACACTTTTTCCTTAGCATAGTTTAATAATTAACATTAAATAAATATAATTAAACACATCATAATATAAATTGAAACATTGTCTTCTAATTAATTGGTTATTTTCCCTTAAATTGAGTTTTATACCAGTTAATTTAAGATTAGTTGTAGAAAATAATATTAGGCTACATTTAATTAAAATAAAAACTATCATTTATTTATCCTCCCTTTTAATTTGCTAGAGATATTGATTTATGAAACACCTATTTGTTTGATTAGTTTTGAGGCATTGTTTGAAATGAAGGTAAATGCTAGGTAACAATATATTCAAAGAGGAAAAACTTTTTAGTAATATTTTGTTTGTAAATTTGAAAGTAAAAAATAATTTTATTTTGAAATCAATCTTTTTAAATATTTTTTTAAGGGGGTATACTATAGTAGCCAGGTATTTTTATATAGTTTTATAAAATTGCTTTAAATATATCTCGCCTATTTTAGGAAGCATTTTCTTAATACACCCCCCCCCCTTCCCATTCTATGAGCCATTGATATAAATTGAGTAAATTTTTGTCAACACACACCCACTCTTCGTAGAAAATAGCAGGTATTCACAAGTGGGGAAAATCAGACAACAAATATACTATAGCTAAATCTACATTGGGCTCCATTTGGAACTTGCTGAGATCTAAAGCTGACGCCAACCAAGACGATATAGTAACTCAAAGCGAGTGGTTCTTGATGTGGTCCGAAAGCATTTCACATTACAAATGCCATCACAACCACGAAGATGTGAAAGGTTTATGAAATGATATTTTATTTATTAAAAAAAGATGTATTTATATATAATAGAAAAATTTTACAAATTTTAAAGCCCGATAGAGTCAATTCTAAGTAGGTAGTGAGTAATTAATTATTACTGAATGAAGAATTTTATTGTATAAACTAACTTTACGTTTGATTTATTTATATACTTGTTCTTTAATTAATTGTTATCAAATATATACTTGGTGTTTCGTCTTTAGTTTAAAGGTTATCAATCTTGATTCCATTCTTTTTTCAGCGCACTAGTAAAATTTTTGTAAAGAAAAAAAAATCTTTAAGATGACCATTTCTTTTTCTATCCTTGACCCTTTGTTCTCGCAATATGCTCTAGGTATTATATCTAGGCTTAAAAATATATAACTAATTCGCTTGTAATATTTTCTGCCCTAAACCCAACTCAGAATCGAATCTCGTTTCACTTAAAATTACTACTCCGTTTCTTTAATGGGTTAAATTTCTTATCTTCAAAAAAATGATATGTGGGCTCATTGAAAGACATATTTGCTCTTCATTTATGTGTTAGTGAATTATTCTACTTTATTCTAACGAATCTCGGCACTCTGTATCATAAAATAAGATGATTAAATCCATCGCTTGCTCTTTTAAAAAGTATCAAATCGATATGGGTACAAAAAAATAGCGTGTCGCCTAACATCCTCTATACTTTTTCGATATATTTTTGGATATAATTAATTAATAACAAATATTAAATATGCAGTCTGTCAAACCTGTCTAAAGTGTGTTCTTGCTAATTTAGGCAACTGTCAAATTTTACCAAATATTTGAATCCCAATCAAATTTTCATATACTACTATTATAAAATGCCTTGCATGTCTACTTTGAAAAGTGGGCAGATTGTTAATTTTTGTTCATTTACCTCTATAAAACGGTAATTTGTTATTGTTGATTCATTTATAATGTAAAATTTTATCATCTTTTTAAAATTCATGAAGAAAACCAACATAAATCTAAAGAAGACATTATCTATCAAACTCCAAGCAAGATAAAATATAATATACCAAATAAACAAACAAAGATAACATCTAATATTATTTCATAAAATTTTACATTTTTATTCTTATTTTGTAACCATTTTATAATGATCTCACATATATATCGTATCATACATGGAATCAATGTGGTTGGGAACATCTCGTTTTTGAATCATTTATCGAGGAGGATTTATAAAATTTTTAAATCCGATTTACTCGGAAATGTCTCCCAGCATTACTTACCTACCATGTGAATTTCAGAAATTTTCGCTAAAAACTTTCATGTATTTCTTTTAAAATTTATATGAAAAATCACTATAAATTAAGAGTTCTAAAGTTCAAAGCCAAATTGTTTTAAATTCACAGTGTGGGTACACTCTCTATATGTTGGAATGCATTTCCGGTCAAATAAAATATGTTTTTCAGATTTAAAAATCACTCTTAATAAATAAAGATTTAAGATTGAGATTTTCCGAATCCCCGTGGATATCCATATCCCAATATGCGTTTTTGATAAACAATAAAAATATGAAAATTGTTTGAAAATGGTTTAATCTTTCTTTTTGCTAAACTAAGAATATAACAGATGGTAAAATGTATATTTTTTAAAAAAAATAAAAAGTATTGATAAATTGGGCAATTGTTTAAGTTGGGAAAAAATCTTGGTCCCGCGGTGCCCAAATTATGCAGGTTTGACTGTATTTACAAATTAACATCAATATTAAATATTATAATTTTGTTTTAACAAAATATTTTCAATTTAATTGAGGAAAGGAGATATCCCCTCCTACCAGTTAAAAATATTTTCAGCGACAATTAATAAGCGTTCAACAAAAATAACGAAATCTTTACGCTCTATGTTAGAAATTTTTTTATTTGTATTTTCTATTTATTCAAATAATCTTTAATTTAATATTCAAGATAAAATGTAAAATAACTATATTCATAATCTCAGAGTTGTTAACGCTCCTTTTTAAAAGTAGCTAGCTCCCGCTCCAAGTAATGGAGCGCCACTCCATAACCGCTCCTTTGATTTTCATTTTTTTAGAAGGTATACGAAACAAAATCATATTTTTTTTTATCAAAAAGCTTTATTTATATTAAATGATATATTAAAATATTTATTACCTTTTAAAAGTAATAAATTTTAAATTAGAATCTATCAAACATCCACGCCTCTCCCCTAAGACCTGTTTTGCAATACTAAATAGGCACTCCACAGGAGCACTAGAGGGAATCAGGGTATTGTATTTTATAAAGTTATTTTTTTAATTCAAGGAATTTATAAAAAATAGTAATTTTGGTATCATTATTTAAAAAATATTTGTCCAATATATTATCTTCCTGATGATCAATTTCATGGAATCCAAAAAAATCTTCCATATTAATTTGTATTTAAAAGAAAGATTTTTTACTTTTAGATACTTTTTTAGATTGGCTGCTCACTTTTGAAAATTAAATAGTTTTATTTAAACACAAAAGACATTTTGACCGTAATTTGTTTGATCATTTGGATCAAGCAACATCTTTTAGAAGTTTAAAATATTTTTTGTATGATGGAAATGGAAATTCGATTTCTTCATCTATGATATCTAAATCCATAATATCTAAAACTATTTTTTATTATATATCTATAAAACAAATATTAACATGACTTTCAAGATTTTCCAAAAAATTTTCAATATAAAAAGGAAAACTTGATGTTTGATATTTAAAATGATTAGATGAAAAACCAATATAAAACTCGGCTAAACATTTAATAATGGATAAATTTAAATTAAATAAAATTTCATATAAATATTAATTAATTTAATTTAAACATTAAATTTAAAGGATCGGTGGAGCGGCGCTCCTCCACTCCAGCCCTAAAAGGAGCTAGCTCCCGCTCCCCAATTTTAAAAAGGAGGGGCGCTACAGGCGCCGCTCCTTAACAACTCTGATTAATCTATATTTCTAAATTTTTATTTAAAAATAGAGAATAAACTATAATTTTAAAAAAGACGAGTAAATGCAAAATAACCAAATAATTCAAATAAAAATTTTAATATTTTTTTTATTATGTGAAGATTTTATATTTTTTTTATTTCTCTTTGAAATTATACAATTAAAACTATCATTTAAGACAAGAAAGTGTCAAAAAATATTTCATTTTAAATACATATATTGTATCACACGAAAACTATTGCAATATTTTAAAACTTTGTCATTTATTCTTTATTCTCTCTCTAGATCTCATTTTGTCTTTTAACATTAACCTCAGCCCATAATTATTATCCTAAATCTTTAATATAGTTACCATATCCCTTCCATTCTTGGAGATAAATACATATGTTCATAAAGCATTATTTTCCAGGTATGCACTTTCTAGATCTTTAGATGGAGGGGGGGGGGTTGCGAAAACCATTCTATTCTCCCTTTGAGCATAAGTTTCAATTCTTTAGTACACATCTTGAAACCCTTATATATCATAATATTTATTCTTCTGGAATACGGTTAAATATCTCTCTAGTTCATAAACGTTATATAGAATGATTGATACTTTTCTTTGATTTCCCATATTATGTTTGAGCTCCTATAATTCTTCGCCCTAATTCTACTAATCTCTTTTCCACTAGTTTCTCCTTTCAAGGCAGGTTTGATTATTTATATTCCTAATAATTGTAGCCTTCCTCCATATACCCTTTATTTCTAATATTAGTGTGGTTTAATATGTTACCTCATTTTTTCTTAGTTTACTCTTTAAACCCCACTAGTAGTATATCATCGGTGCTTATAATTTTTCCGTTTTTCATTAATTAAAAATTACTTTTTCAAATGTAATAAATTGTATTTCATGTTCAACCTTCTAAAAAATGTATAGAATAATTAAGTTATAATTTTTCTTCTATAAAAAAAATATTATTCCATAGTTTTTTAAACCAAAAATCTTTTGAAAAATAATTATCAAATGGCAATATACACGTAAAGAAATTTTTTATTATTATTATCAAATTCTTTTTCATCGATCGTACAATCGTGGTGATAAAGAGTCTTTGCCTTTAGAAAAATATCTAATAAATGTATTAATGAAAATGGATTTAGTTCAAAACTATGAAGACTAAAATTATACTCCGATAAATCTTACATCATCTTTTCTTACATTAATATCTATCAAAATAATCAAACATCCAAATGGTTTTAAGCTACCTATTCAAAAGTTTGATATCTAGAAATATCCCATATCTTCCAATTCTTCTCTGGGGGTTTACCATGTTAGTAATAAAATATACATAGGTCAAACTAGTGGCACAATCAAAACCCATAAATAATATGTTATAACGAATTAATAAATTATTGTTTTTTATTATAAGCATATTGCTATTCAATTTTAAATATACTATTATAGGCACGTTATAAATCTTCTAAATTTACAATAATATAATATTATTAATTAAATTCATATATTTTACCTTTGGATATAATATAAATTTTCACATAACTTTCCAATTCATTTCTCAAAGTTGTCAAAAGTGTAACTTAGGTCCATTAAACTTTGCTTTTCTTCTGATCCTTATTGGATTAAAATTAAAATGTCGTTAGTTTTTGAAATATTCAATTTTGTTTATATTAGAACCTTGCGATAAAGAAGCCATGCCGGACTGGGAGAAAAAATTTATGCAATTCATGTTCGATGTCATCGATATTTCAGGTTATTTTTTTCTTTATTTTAAACGTCAGATTCAGATATCTTATAATTTTATATTCTGAGAAAATTACAAAGTTGGGTCGGTTCCTGTTCATAATTTGGGTTGGAAATAAATCCTTAAATGACTTTATTGTAATGTTCTAATATTTTTTATAAATACTATTTATGGGGAAATTTAACTCTTTTGTTTTTAGGAAAATTTTAGATCGTTATCATTCAGTTCCTTAGAGACCTAAATTAGGTGGATATAACTTTTAAATATTAAAATTTAGAAGCTACATCATTAAAAATCATTTCCATCCATGGCCTACTTAAGAAAGTGTTAATAATCATGTTATATAAATTTTTATAGTTATAAATATCGAATGGTAATTATAATTTTTTTTGTAATTTTCCATGATACCATTTTTTTGTTTTTAGCAAAAAATAATGAAAATAAAAGAAAAGATAGTAGAATAAAAAAATAATAGACACTTTGAATTATATCAAGGTCATGAAAAAATAAATAAAAATTAGCCATAATCTCGAAGTTGCCTGGCCAAATTATTTATACTATCAACCGAAAAAATTTCAAATAAAAATAAGTAATATCCTAGGGAAGTGTATTAATAAAAAAAATTTTAATGGTTAAATTTTATTGTTAAGGTTTTTTTATATTAAAATTTTTTGAATATATTATGTATACCAAATAAAATAATAATTATATACTATGTATGTAATATTAAAAATAAACATATATTGAGGGTCGAAATAAAGAAGGAGTTATCCGGGGGGGGGGGGGGGGGGGAGTAAAAATCTTTATATAACAATCTGAATGATAATTGTTTTAGTCGAGGTGGGTTTATTTAGTTTATAAGGATCAGTGTGCTCTCGAATTTTTGGAAGAGGAAAGTTAATCTATACAAGTTTGGATTTTGCTTAAAATTCGGAGCAGTTCTAACAAAGGTTAAAATTTAGCGATTCATTTTTAGAGGGTTTTAATTATCATTTAATTTTTTTATTTTGTTTTTCCATTGCCTTAACAGAATTTTGAATTGAAACTACAACTTGAAACCTCAATCGCATCAAATCTAAAAAAAATTTTAAGAACCAATAATTGCCTAAAAAAATTTTAGAAACCAGTTCAGGTTTCAGATTCTGGTTACAATGATTTTTATTATTAGAGACGAAGAATTGAACTAGGGAAGAGGGCACTGTTAATTTTTTTCATAATAATTACCACAAAATTTCCAAATATTTTACCAAATTTCTAGGAATTCGGGAATTTTAAAATCTATAGTATATAACATATAATTAATTTTTAATCCTTGAGTTTTTTGAAGATTCATAGAAAATAACCTAGATTAATATATAATTTTGTTTTTTATAAAAAAAAATTATCAAAGGTGATGGTATCATAGATGAAATTGAGTTTTTGACATTTTTTAAAGTCTACGATTTTACAGAAACGGAGTGCAAAATAGCTTTTTCAAATTTGACCAACGTATTTTATAATATTTTTTATCAAAATATAGAAAAGTATTTTGTAAATGAATTAGTTTTCCTAGTGAGAAACTGAGATAAATAATCACTTTATTAAGATAACTTTTTGATTATCAGGAATTAAATCTGTTAAAAAATTTTAATTTTTACATAAAGCAAAATAGCTTGATTTTAACTTAAAACCCGGCTAACTAGTATACAGGAAATTATAGTGCAAGCCTGAAGATTTTGCCCATAGATGGCACAAAAATTTGGACATCTATTAGCAAAATCTCGAGGATTGGACGATATTTTTTTGGCTAAAATATTGAGTTAGTTGGTTTTAAAAATGGGCTTAAATAGAGCGATTTTGTGTCACCATTTGCTATGTTGCCTAAATTCACCTTTATTTTTTTATTTTAAAATAAACCGAAATTTTTTTTTATATTTTAGTATTATTATTATTATTTTGATATTTTATTGAATTCCATTTTAAGTGAAAATTCTATCCTATTCCTTAAGATATTTTAAATATATTTTATGATATACACATTGTGCATCTAAAAATAATTTGGAATTACCTCTCTCATCAAAAGATAAATTTCTAATTCATTCAAATAAATGAGAAATTTCTGATTCATTCACCATTATTGACGAGCTATCTGCTAGTAATTAATATAATCATATAAACATAATATATTATACCTTTTATCTAGCTGGAAGTAGAAAGATAATAGAAAGAGTGTGCCAGAAAAGAAATCGTAATAAAGATATGGAAATGTGATTATTTTTTTAAAAACTACAAAGAAGTGTAAATACGAGATCTTAAGAAATAATACAAAAGATTTGGAATAAAAGTTAGAGGGTATAAAAAAACTAAAATACCTGCGATATAACATAGTTAAACATAATTAGCCATGAGAAAACACTGGAATAGGAAAAACAATATAAAATGATAAATCAGGGTGTGAAAAATTATAAAATTTAAAATAGACATAACTTAATACACGTTATCTCTTAGACATATTATATCCCAGTTAAACTTATATTTTCCTCCCAATCTTGTTCAGTAAATTTAACAACTTTTTACTATTAATTATTGTAATTATTATTAAATTAAGTTAAATTTATTTTATTTTTCTCCTCTCTAATCTCTAATAAATTATAAGAAAATAAATATCTAAAATAATAAAATAAATAAATCAAATCTAATTCAAAGAATTAGGCAAAGAATTAGGCAAACGGATTCGCGAAAAACCCGATCAGCCTAAGGAATCCCTCTTCTTACGCCAAAGACTTGCTACCGTCATTATTCACTCTAACTATCTAAGTTTCATCTCTTCCATTGAATAACCTTCCATATTCCTAGCTTCCTTTTGTTTATCCCCTATCCTTTCCTGTAAATTCTATTTCTACATTTTTCACCTTGCTACTACATTTTGACAACATATCATATCAGTAAATATTCAAATAAAGTAACCCATGACTGGAAAAAAATAATAAATTATTTGTATACAAATAAATAGATAAGGTCCTCGTAGATGGCGCTAAACATAGATATTGTTTTATAATAATTAGATATATAAATTTAATTAGGAAATATTTGACAATTTTATACTATATATTATTTTTAACCGTAACTGAGACGATAAGTCAAAAATATTTAAATGTTCTTCACTATAAACAATTAAAATTATGACGAAAAGTAAGGTGGCTATTATGATTATAGATATTTATATCTTATATAACCTTATTATTATATACATATCAACTTTCTGAATATGTCACAGTTCAAATTTTATTTCAAAAGACTTAGACTAATATAAATATATTTTAATCTGCTGGAAAAAGTCTGACCAAAAGAAGAGAGAGAGACCTATTATCAAGCTTCTATATGATAAAAATTTAAATAATCATTCTAGCTTAATTATTTCCCGAGATATTTCAAAGTAAATGAAATAGATTTTTTCAATTTTCTTTTATTTAAAGCACATAACTCCCAAAACAACCGAAATAGAGAATTATACAATTTTTAAAAATCTGAAGGGGATAGATTGAAAATTTATCTTTTTTTTAAATTTATTTAAAAGGAAATTCTATATAAATAATAAATCCTTCTTCTTTAAATAAAGAATTTTATTTATATTGATACACTTATTACTAGTATTTAGTTTATAACTTAATTTATGACTGTTGTTTTCCTTCAAGCGATAAATTAGCAATTTATTTTAGAGATTTCTGTTAAAAAATATTAAATAAATATTTGTAATTATGTAACCTTGATTTAGGTACTTTAAGAAAATGGCTATGAAAAAATATTACCTTCGATTCAATATTTTTTTGAACTCTCAAGATTTAATTAATATTTTTTGGCATAAATCTTGATGTTTTTTAAAAAGCGCTTAAATCATTGAAGTTTTCACAACAATGAAAATCTCAAATATATAAGATTTACGACATTATGGATTATAACTTTATATAAATAATTAACCTATGTTTCTTAGAATAAAAAGGTGAAAATTGATAGGGAAATGTATCGCAAGTTTTGGAGGCAGTATTTTCTTGGTAACGTTCAGGAAGAACCTGGGAATTGGATCTTTTGCAGCCATCTTTAGATGTACAGAAATTAAAAATATTATAAATATTTTACAAAAAAATTGCACTTTAAATGTTTTTTAAAGTCTTATTTCTTATATTACTATTTTATTTAATTCGAAAATTTTCTAATAATGCTATATAATTGAATTAAATTACTTGAAAATTTGCTCTTGATGATGAAAGCAGAAAAAAACTTACAAAATATATAATTTTTTAAAAATATGTAATATTTATATAAATTTATATCGCCTTGGATATTTTTAAATTATTAACAGAATATTGTTAAATAAGATAAGTTATATTTGTAAATCATCGAATATCCCAATTTCTATTATTGACAACATTAAAGTGATTCAAAATTTTGATTATCAAGACATTTTAATACGCTTTTTTAATGCTGTTCAATTAGGAGTGAATTCTCAGACTAATAAATTTTATGGGAATATTTTAACTTTCAAACTATACAAAGTTCTTTTAAAATATAAATATTGTTTAGAATATTTGCTGTAAATATAGAGAATTAAATTATATTTCCATTCCAATTTTTCATATACCAGCCCACGATATCTGACTAAGATTTCCGAAACTAAAAATATATTTTGGAAATAATTTTTGAATTGAAAAAAATTCATATTTATATAGTAAAACTGCATAAATATAGAATTTGCAATATTCATTTTATAAGAGTAAAGATATATTCAGGTGGCATCTACATGAGAGAAATTAATCTAAATCATGATTTATCCCCATCCTCTAGAGTATTTTTACTCCCTATAAAAGTCAATCACATGCAGGTAAATTACTCTTCCTTTCATGAATACACTGAATCCAGTTATAAATATCAAAGGTCATATATTATTTTATATAGTATTAATAATTTATTTTAGATAGATAATATACAAATAAGGATAGGGTTTACAAACTCACCAATCTACTCTAATTTCCCCATACTTACAAGTTCAGGAGTTTTTGTTAAAGTAATTAAACAATAACTATAACTAGTTCTTTAAAAAAATTCTTACTAACTGTAAATAATTACATTTTTTGGAATATAGTGACAAACTTAATTAGTTAATTTTTAAATTCATAAAAAATATATCATTCATTTTGTTTTTGTGATAATTTCCTAAATTTGAATCCACTATTTATTAAATAAAATGTTTCATAAAACACATGTGCTCCTGTAGAACATTCAAGTCATGGAATGCATATTATTTGGAAAAACTAGCACGATTTTTAAATATCAGTTTAAAAAGAGTTTTCTTGAATCAAATAAATTTGTTAAGTCCAAATTTATGAAAATATGTCTTATATCGGATTTCTTTTTTCAGTACAAACAAATAACTATTATTATGTGGTACAATTTATAGCAAACAATTTTTTTATTAATAGAAATGATGATTTATAAAGTAACTGTAATGTATCTATACTTTTAATAATTACTTTTAAAATCCAAAATTAGATTTGTTTAAAGCGAATTATATTTATCTTAACATTGGAAAGATGTCCTGACAAATAAAGCATATATCCTCTAGCCCAGGGCTGTGAACCCGAACCCAGGCTCTGAACCAAAACTCTTCCCTTATATTGAACTAGAATCCCGGACTGCGCACCTTTTTTTAAATTAGAATTCAGGGTTCAAGAATTTTTTTTTAAAGTTTTACTTATTTAATTTTTTTTATTAAAATTTCTTTATTTTATTTTATTATTTTAAATTATAGAAAATTTAAACAATGTTAAAAGATATATATTTAAAAAATAACATGTAAAATATTTATATAATAAAAACACATATTAAATATTTAAAACATAATTGTGTTTTTTATTTTCAATATTGAAAATATTTATGGTGAAAATCATTTTTCATGGAATCGTTTTTTATGTTAGTGTATTCATTTTTTAGTAAATTTAAAAATTTTCTAGAAACTGAACCCTGAACTAACCTGAAACTGAATTCTTAAATCCTTTTTTCAGAAGGAGGGTTCATAGCCTTGCTTTTGCCCATTTATTAATTTGTCATCCTGATTATTTTTGCTTAAAGCATATTGAACGGCATCTAAAATCATTCTGATTGATAATTAACTATGCTGAAATGTTTTTAAAAAGATTATTTTTGATTATACAAAGCTTTCGACTCTAAAATATAATTGTTTTTTTAAGAAAACGTTACTTATTCTTGTCATTATATTTATTCACATTTCACACAAATCAATCTAGTGATAAAAGTAACAAAACATATTATTTAAAAAAGCAAGGGGTCTTATTTAGTTTCTAAGAGGAATTAGAATTGCTAACATCTGGAAGTTGAAAAATTCAAGATACTTTAAAGTACTTTATAAAATTTATTTGTTTAAAGACTTTTTCCCCTAATATACAAAGCGCGATGGTTATTTTTCTAGTAATTATATCCGTGGCTTGCTTTAATACGCCAAATAATTGTGGTCTGTTTTTATATGCCAATTAAATTCTATATCATATTTATTAATCGAAACTTATAAATAAAAAATCCTTTAAGAGATGCTATCTTAATATAATGATTATAAATAATATCATATATAAAATCTAGGTTTAGGTATCATAGTAATATTTCATATAATTTAAATGCTAATTATTAGGGTCGTATAAATAAAAAGCAAAAAAAACATATATTCGATAAATATTTGTCAAAATTCTAACATGATTCATAATTTATAGCCGAATTAATAATTAAAATACTCTGGAGTTACTTATAGTATAACAATAAGGAAATTGGTAAAAATAAAATAAATAAAAAGAAGTAATAATAGTCATTAAAAAAATATGTAAATCATATATTATTAAAGATTTAATTTAAAACATCAAATATGCATAGTTAGTTTTTATTTCGCTATTCAGAGTTTCATACATTTTATAATGGTAAATAAAAATATAATGATATTATAATCAAAAACCATTTGAGTATCTTAAGGGGAAAAAACAATGTTGTTTAAATTATGTGGCAAGAAATAAAAAGGGAAATAAATCATTTTTTTTGATCAATGATATTTTGGGTAATAATTTTGCTCTGTAGGATATGTAACACCTTGAGGAGCACTGCCACTGTAATGATAACGAGATAATTTTGCATCTCCTCCTTGATTGGAATACATTTTTGGAGAGGGGGACATTTCAGATTTGGACGTGACGTTTGATATGTTAGATCCTGATCTTAGGTCTTGCGAATGGGAGATAGGAGATGACTTGTTAGATGACATTTGATACTTGATAAAGTAAGGATCGGATAAAGAACCCATACTTGATTTTTTTTTATCCCCAAAGTTTTTACGGGTTTTCAAACACAAGAACGAAGTTATGATAATAGACATGAGAAAAATGCATACAAATATAGCTATGCCGACGGAAAAAACGGCTGTGGACATGCAAAATTCTTTTCCCGTAGAATCGTATACCTTCATAACGTTATCAGCGCTACCTTTACTCCTGAAGAGGTTATTATTGTTGTTATAGATGATTTCCAAGTTTTTATCTTTCAAGCCATTTTTCTCTTCTAAAATAAACTGGTTTTGGTCGGAATATTTGAAATTATTGGGTAATTCAAATTTGTCACTATCGTCAGAGTTTACTAATCCAGCATTTTCAGTGTATTTTTCCTTCTTGCCCATGCCATTTTTTTTCTGAAATTTAAAGCCTTCTTCAGTTGTCAATGATTCTTCGTCTTCAACATCGTCCAATATAATTACGGAACCTTTAACTTTAATCTCTGGCTCCTCTTCTTCACCTTGCTCTCCTTCAACCGCATCGTTATCGATTAAGACATTCTCATCTTTGACACTTCTTTTAATCCTAGGGAGACTCGTTGTTGCAAACACCAATAATCGTGTTACTGAGGAATTGGCGCTAATGGTTGATGAAAGCGATAACGGAGTAGACGCGGATTTTTCTTGGGATGCTGATGAAGTCAATAAAGTAGTAACACTGGAGAGGGTTGTGGTTTTGAATTGGGTAGTCTGGGGTATGGGTTGAGATGTCTGAGGTGATTTAGGAAGTATAGATGTAGATACTAATGTAGTCGTTCTAACCATTGCGGCTGATATGGTGTTAGAATTTGTGATGTTGATCAACTCGGTTATTCTTTCGCTGGATGTATTTAAGCCGTTGGTAATAACGGGGAAAGAACGGGTAGGTGATTGATCGATTATGGCAGTGTTTGTTACATCCAATATGGATGAGCTGCATATTGGCTTTTTAAAAATTATAAATGCAAATTAATATATTGTCAATTACTTATGCTATATAAACTGTGTTTGAGATTGTGAAAATGATTATTCGAGATAAATCTCTTAAGGTATACCTAAATTAAATATATGTAAACAGAGGCTCCTAGCGATGGAGAAGGGAAGGAGTACTAAGCAAATGTTTTATTAAATTTACAAGGGGGTACATTTGAATGTGTCAAATCAAAGTTCTCCCCACAATATAATTTTTTTTTCTATTTGTAAAGCTATATGTCATATCATATATATATATAATGAAGAGCTTTGAAAGATTTATGTAAAAACATCACGAGGTGATTCTTTACATATTTTAAATATAAAGACTATATTTACGATTTATGACACGTTTTAAGGCATAATAAATAATTTAATTTTAAATAAATAGTAGGACCTGATATATGTATCTTTCATTCACTTTTAATATTTTAATTCTAGGTCATAAAATTATGAGATATTATTCATCTCATTGATGAATACATCAATCACTACTCATTTCAACTGTGAATCCTACAAAGATGATTTTCTAATTTGTAAAAAATAAAGCAGTATTATCAGATTTAAAAAAAAATCTTAAGTTATTATATCTTCATTTTAAATAGTGAATATTATGAAATATGTAAATGTAGTATATAAAATACGACGGTCTTTCTTATAAAAATTTTTGGTTATTGAACGAATCTAATTGTGTAAATATACCTAGCGCTTGAATAAGAAATAAAAGGAAAGGATTGAGAGTATTAACTCCGTATAGAGTAAAGATAAAATGTACAGCGCAATAGTTTTCATTGTCATGTGAGTTTCCTACAAGAGTAGCAGTTTTAAATGATAAAAGAGAGACAACAAGAAATTAAAGAATAATAAGATAAAAATAAAACAATGACATTCAACTCCTCTAAAATTTAACTAATATATGTTTTATTACTATTTTGCAATTGTTTTTAGGACATAGTTTAACGATACACTCGTAATAAACTGAGTTGGAAGTCGGGAATTTGTGGGAGGCAAACATGACGAAAGCTCTGGTTACTGTGTCAGATGGTTGTCTGTTCCTGGGGTTTACATTGTCATATTGAAAATTCCCGAACACAGCCGGGTTAACTGGACAACCCGAAGCGTCTATCAA